ACTTCTCCCCATCCTTTTTCTTTCCTTTTCACTATATAACCCCCTAATTAAAGAATGGAGAAACACCATAAAAAATATGGTGTTACAGTAAGTTTATTTTAAGGGTTAAAAAAAATTATATAAATGTTATGTTTTAGTTTATTTTGAAATTTCTAAATAAATTAAATTAAAAATAGTGATGTGACAAATGGATGGAAAAGATGTTATTTCTATATGTTGTGGGTTGTGAAACATTGAAGAATAGAAAAGAGAAAAACTCATATGAAGCCATGTGGCTATGAGTTGAATGTATTTGGTGGGTTCTACTCCTACTATACCCTTAGTCTAATTAAAAGTCATTGTTAGGCGAAGCAGTGTCAGTGGTTTTCCCATCGGCATTCCTAGGTCGTATATATTGTCGGCGGTGTTTACCGCCACTAGTCCATTTTTCGCCAATGGGAATATGCCAAGGGACGACTATTACTACTATCTCTCTATTTTTCTAATGAAAACAATTTGTATACATTAGAAAGCTACATGAAAGGGTTGTACTTTTATGCATTAGAAAATACACCACACCCCAATCATACACAAAGATTGGTAAAAAAGATAAATATTTAGGTGAGAAGAACATTTGGTAGGTAAACACATCATGTCACCATTAAGTGGGTTAGAAGTTCTTTAATACGTAAACATTAATGAAATGTTCTTCAAGACGTTTTTATGCAATGACACTAACTATAGTCTAAAGAAGTAATTCATACACAACAACTTTTTGGCGTATACAACAATTTATGCATTATAAAGTTGTACAGTACAACATTTTAAAGCATCAATTATTGTGTATGGAGAAAAAATGTTGTGTACAAATCATCTTCCTAATCTAAAGCATTACATACTATAATATCTAGAATATTAAGTTTTTAGTTAAAAGAATTATTATTATAAAATGTGTAACCATCCAAGTTTTGCTAAATTTATCGAGTAATGACCTCATGCGGCCCACGGTTTTGAATGCATGAAAGGGACGACTCGAGCTATATGCTTGTGGAGCCATGTGATGTGGTGGTCCTACCAAGGTCAATCGGCAATACAATACCTCCACCTCCAGATGGTTGATTATGTTTTGCCTCCATTTTTTTTTTCTAATTCTTGCTTCTTTTCTCATGGAAAAGACAAAGATAAATCCCGTTAACTTGTATTCATATAACGCACTTCGGCACATGGTAATTTTGAAGCATATGCCACCCTTTTGCATCTTGATGAGCAAAATAGTCGCATATCAAGGAAACATTTCCATGGGGAGGCATTACGGACCATTGGACGATGCTAATGTAGGGTACACAAATTGAGTTGTGCAAAAGATACATTATCGGCCACTTACGAGTACTTGCTATGATCAAATTAATGGTTGTGGATCGGCATATGAGCAAAAGTAACAATAACATATACAAAGTAATATATGTATAAAGCAAGAAAGGTATAGTATAAAGCTTGACTAAAACAGTTACAATGGCCCACACGAATTCATAACAACTCCGCCACAACAACTTCAATGAACATCAAAGGAAGAACATAGATAGTTTAGATATTAATTTAACCAGGACAATATTTTTACTAGGTGTTAATCGTGACACTTAATATGCATGGAAGTGATTGCGGCATTAACATTTATGTGTAAAAAGTTTATAAGTTGGTAGATAAGAAAGTGTTCGGGAGGTCATAAGTCAATTTATTCGCCGAATTATTAAAAGAATCCAAGCTCCAAGCTTTCAATAATGGAATTCCTTCAAGATGACAAATATCTAGACCAAGGCCTTACCATGTTCATGAATATTATGACACACATGTTCCGATGGGAATTTGAAGATTACCCATAATTACCCTCCAAGATACTTCAACTTTAAAGAAATCGGCTTCCTTAAATTGCCATGGCAATCGAATTGCCAGCCATATCCTCTTGCCCATCAAGTTATCTTGTTTCCTTGTTTATTTTTGTAACTTATCTTTTCTATTTGTTTCCTTTTAGTCGGTGGTTTTCTCTGTATTTAAACCTTGGGCATGAATGACATCAAATAACTTTTGGCAATATTAAAAGCTTTAAACTTTATCTCAAGAAAACCTTTCTTCTTGTGCATCTTAAGTTCAGGATCGTCAAAAAAATCCTTCGCATTCCCATGAAGGTGAGTGGCGGAACCCTTAAGGGGCCTAGGCCCCCAGGTTTTTGGCCTTCTATTTGCCATCATGAAATACATAATTTTGGGTCTGCGGCAAAAATGAGAGGTTGGTGTAAAAAATCAAAACGGATACCAAACAAGAAGTCTAAAATATAAAAGATTTTAGAGTCATCTTAATCCAAAACAAACTCACATAATTTAGTAACTGAAATCTGAAAATTGAATCCCAACAAATCCTGATCACCACTGAAATCTGAAAATTGAATCCCAACAAATCCTGATCACCAATAGATTATATATCATAACATAAACATTCTTAGAGTCTTTCCTAATCATAATCGTAGTCTATCAAGCTTTTATACAACCCATAAGAAAATAAAATCTCAAAAAGTCAAAAACTAAGGTTACGATTAATTACAGAAAAACAATTTTCATTTTCCATTTTTTGTTTTCCCTTTTTGATTTTCGTTTTCGGTTTTCATTTTTCATCGAAAAATTTAGAAAACGTATTTAGTTAAACTTATTCATTTTTCATTTTCTGTTTTACAAAATTAGAAAACATGTTTAGATGTGTATTTTTCTATCAGTTTTCATTTTTAGAAAACGGTAGCAGTAGTAGGGTGTGGGTGGGGGTGGTGACGGTAGCGGGTCGGCGGCGGTGGTGGTGATGACGTGCGATGGTGGTGGCGGCGACAACAGTGGTGGTGGTGCTAGTGACGGGTTAGTGGTGGTGGTGGTGATGGTGATGGTAGGTCGGTAATTGTGGTGGTGGTGTTAGGTGGGTGGGGGTGCGAGTGTGTGTTTGTATGTGTGTGTGTTTGTAGGGGTAGGTGTGGGTTTGTGTGTGTGTCTGTGAGGGTGGGGGTGGGGGTAGGTGTGGGTTTGTGTGTATGTGTGTGGGTGTGTGTTTGTGGGGGGTGTGGGTGGGTATGTGTGTTAGTGTGTTTGTATGTGTGTGGGTGCGATGGTGGGTATGTATGTGTGTTTGTGGGTGGGTGTTTGTGTTGGTGGGTATGTATGTGTGTGTGTGTGTGTTTGTGGTTGGTGTGTGTGTGCGGGTGAGTGTGTGTGGGGGTGGGTATGTATGTGTGTTTGTGGGTGGGGGGTGTTAAGGTGGGAATAGATAGAGGTGGATGGGGTGGGAGTCGGTGTGTGTTTATATTTTAGAAAAATTTTGGAATTAGAATAATATGGAAAACAATGATTATCAGTTTTCCAAAAAAATTTCAATTTCTTTGTAAATTTAGAAAACCAAAAATTTTCATTTTCTGTGAAAAATTTAGAAAAATAGACGAATTAAACGCATTTTCAAAATTCTCATTTTTCTTGGAAAATTTTTCCAGAAAACAGCCAATTTTTCTGCAACAAAACGGACCCTAAGAACCCTAACTGCCTGAGATGTCTGCCAGAAACTGCCGCTCCCTATCATCTTAGTGGTCGCACCGACCACTTCTGAACGGTGTCTCCAGGTTTTGCGTCTCGAGCTATCTACTCTTTATCTGATCGTTTGGTCACTCTCTTTTGCCTTGCTCTCTACACTTTTACGAAGTAAAGGATTCTATTAACCCCAATATGCTATAACACTCGGTCAGTTGATAGGTTATCCCATTAACCATAAGACTATAACCCAACAAGCTATAACAGATACAGTAGCGGTTATGATACGTGCAAAATTTTCGTATCATAACGTGTTAGTGAATTTCAAGATTGATATTTATGATTTAATTGTATTGTAATTTATGCTTATTAAAGGAGTTATATTGTCTAGTTCCACCTCTTATATGTTATGATTTATGAATTTATTTCTTAGTTTAATTTATCTTTATGCATTTTTTTTTTTTATGATTAGTTGTATTTTTATATATTTATGATTTCATTTTTATGAGTATGAGTTTATCAATTAAATTTTAACAAAAGTCGAACCATCACAACAAGTGGTCAACAATATATTTTACGTAATTTTTTTTTTTTTTGAAACGGCAAATCTAACATACTCCTTAACTACACCTTAAATCCACTTATGTCCACAATGGGACTTGAACCCTCAACCTCAAGAAGGGAGGATAATACTGGATACCGCTGGACTAGAAGCCTTTTAATATATATTTTACTTAATTAATCTCTGTTTTACCAACAAACTATGTAAGCATACTTACCACCATTGCTTAATGCTATTGGTTTCGTAATAGTTGGATGAAGCTGCACCGAAATAAATTAAAGTTATTTACATTTTTTTTGAAGTCTTTATTATCAAAACAAAAAATGCAGCCTTTAGGGACGACAAAAGTCGTCGCAATTGATTACATTTGTCGTCGCCAATAACTTTAGCGACGACATGTTGTCGCTAAAGAGTCGTCGTAATTACCTCGTAGCTAATATTCGTTTGTCATAGCAAATATCATCGTCTTTAATACACGTCGTCTTTAATATTCCTATGTCGTCGTTATTAACATCGTCTCTATTGATATTCCGGTCACCGGCCAAAGTTTTTCCAGCAAAAGCTTCCCAGAGTTATGTGTCGTCGCAATTAGTCAACGTCGTCCTTAAAGGTGTCGTTGTTAATGTTTTTTTTTTCTTTTTTTTTTATAGAAAAAATATATCTTTTGTGATATTAGTTTATATATATATATATATATATATATATATATATATATATATATATATATATATATATATATATTATAACTTTGATAAAATACATAAATAAATACATACCACATTATATAAAACAACAAACATACCATATTACATATCTAATAAATCCCAAATAAACATCTAGTATATAATCCATAAACTATCTAATAAATCCAAAATAACATCATCCATAACATAAAACAAGAAATATTATATGTCTTCGTCTTCGTCTTCCCCATCATTGTTTTCCTCGTCGTTGATTTGGTTTTTAAAGGAGCGGATAATGTCTCCAATGGTCATTACAAATGTCGGGGTTTGAAGAAAAACATTCACATCAACATCCTACAATTAAGTCACAAGCACATTAAGTCATTAATAATTCATAAACTATTAAGTCATCAAAGCACCAAGTCGTTAAAAATTTAACAACCTATTAAACGAAAAATTCTTTAAGAATTTAACAAGTACTTGTGTTGGTTGTGGTGCTTCTGACTGTGACTGCCATTGAGATGGAGCACTGGTACCCGCATCTGAAGAAGCTTTAGGCCTAATACCTCTCACATGCTCCCTTCATTTACTCAAAACTTTCTCAAATATTGCGATCCAATCAATGGTGTCTGGATCACCACCAGAGTCGGTTATGTGATGTGTCTATAGAGCAACCTTAGCAACTAAGGCATTCTATATTTCACATAGATTGTTAATATACCTAAAACCTACACAAAAAACCCAACAATCTACTTCATTTTCAAGTAATAATAACTTACATATTGCTCTTCAACCAAAGGATCAACAAATTCCCCCTTTTTATTCACATACGCACGATGAATATTCAAGTCTATACAAATTTTGTTTAACATTAGAAAAAATGTTATATTTGAATAAACATTAAAAAAATATGTTATAAATGAAAAAACATTATTGTAACCTACTTTCTTGAAACAAGCACTACCGTAGCTGCACGTCCCTCCACGATTCTTCACTACTTGCTTCTTCCAACATTCTTCATTTCCAGATGATCGTTTTTGATGTTTTTTTTGTTAAGAAATGGTGAATAGAAGTATTCCAATGATGTTGATCCATACCCATAGGGCTTGAGCCCTTACTGCCTCCACATCCCCTACAAAATTAGTCAAACGGTTTTTGCAATATTTTGCAGCCTCTATACTTTGCATATATTTGTGTTCAGTGACGCCCAATAAGTTGGAGCCATGGGATGATTTGTAGTCGCTCCAAAATCAAACCATCTCTACAATATATATATATATATATTATATAATATATATATATATATATATATATATATATATATATATATATATATATATATATAGAGAGAGAGAGAGAGAGAGAAAGAAAGAGAAAGAGAGAGAGAGAGAGAGAGAGAGAGAGAGAGAGAGAAATTAAAAATAAATCAGTATTAAAAAAATTAAATATATAACTTTATAAATAATTTACCGAAAGATACTGCAACATTCCAACCCTTTCGGCTTCAGAAACGTCTGTCCATGTGTCTTTATCAAAACCGATGTCCCGCCTCATATAGCTCCCAACATCCCAAATGAAACATTTGTATACCTCCCCAATCAACATGTTAGTATTTATGTCGAATACCATCTTAAGAGGCCGGTTGTCGTTAGTTGCAAATAGTTTGTGCATTTTTTATTTACTATCATACCTCTTCATTATGTAGGCACCGCTGCATAAACAAATATTAGTCAAAATAATTTTTTATATGGACGCAATATGAAATACAACTAATTAGAATTAAATATTAATTACTATCGTTCTGGTGATCACCAAAACCTCCACCGAACGAATGTGGTGGCTCGTCACCACTGTCACCTCCATGGCCCATCACAATAGCCATGAGATGGAGCAATGCAATCCAAAAAAAAAACATCCTGAAAAATTACAACACAAATATATATATATATATATATATATATATATATATATATATATATATATATATATTCATTATAATATTGTTAAACTACAACCCTAACTTGATTTTCTTTCAAGATATTCGACATTTCACTATTATCATTCCTTACGTCACATCTTTTTGCCGAACACCTACTAGGCTATATATATTGTAGTTGAAAATATAAATTTTGTAAGAGGAAGATAAATGTGTAAATTATAAAAATCCTGGAAGTAAATCAAGTTAGAAATTAAATTATAAGAACATTGGATAATTAGAACGTATTATATGATACAAAACGACGTAGTATAGTGAGTTTGGGTACCTATGCTTATATACCCTGAAGGTTATATTCACTTTTCCCATATATATATATATATATATATATATATATATATATATATATATATATATATATATATATATATATATAATAATTATATGATTATAGCAAATACATACCTTATTTTACTAGTCAAATATAAAGATTTTTTTTATCATTCTCGCCCCCAGACACTGAAGTTTCTGCTGACACATCACTATCATAATCAAAATCTTCCTCATTATAATTAGTCTCGCAATCAGACACATTATTGATGATGCTCGTTAGTGGATCAACTTCAATATCATCTTTAACCGATTGAGAATTTTGAAACTACTAGCTAAAGTCTATTGAAAGAGTGAAATTAGAAGAAACATTACTAAGAACAACATCGTTTGAATCATTGTTGACATTCTCAATGGGATCATGGTCGACATCGTTCATCGGTAGATCCCAAATTCTTCTATGATTAACATTTTCAACAACCCACCATTGGTTCTCATTTTCGTCACTTCAAGAAGGTTATTGGATGTAAAATATTTGCTTCACCTGTATAACAAATATGAATTGATATTCGCCGCTCAATTCGCGTTGTGGGTCGATACTGGCAAAAATATTATTAGATTTAACTCTTGCAGTACCGAACTACTTGCAACGAAAATGTACGGTGGAATATTTATGAGGATAATGCAACTCGATCATATCTTCTAGTTTACCATAATATGTATGCTTATTCTCTCCGTTAGTTAGAACCCTCCAAGTTTTGTGTTGATCGTTGGGCATCACGCATAAGTACCATAAACTTAACATCATTCACTATACAAGCGGTGTGAGTAAAGGCATTTGCATATGCACCGATTGAAAGAGCCGATAACTCCTTGTTAAACTCTGAAGATTTTTGTTTTTGCATATCATAGACCTTATGAAAGAACCATTTAGGAAATTCGGTTTTTTCATCACTTTCAAGATTTAATGATTTGAATTCACTATATTGATGATATATATATATATATATATATATATATATATAATATATATATATATATATATATATATATAGTAAAAAGCATAAATTAAAAAGACACAATGAATTAAAAGATAAGAACACTTACGCAATATACTTTCTGACTTCCTCACAGCTATCAAGCACAAACCAATGCATACGTTTTCTCTCCTCTAGACTGATATTTTTCATTTTCTTTGCCCTAGCTGGACGACACTTAGACCGAAACATCCATAACTTTGTTTCCTCTATGACAACATTCTCGTTTCTTTCGAGGCGATTGAATCGATTCTCAACATCTTCAAGGTACATCGAAGAAAATGATAATTCCTCTTCAACGGCATAACCATCATTTATAGAACCTTTCAGCCTCGCCTTGCTTCTAACATAGTTTTTTAGTTTTTTCATATACCTTTCGAAGGGATACATCCATCTTATACATACCGGGCCTCCGCAAATAACTTTATCAGGTAAATGCAAAACTAAATGAACCATGATGTCAAAAAACTGAGGAGGATAGATCACCTCTAATTTGCACAATATTTTAATAATGGATGGTTTCGTTTCTTTCATATCTTTCACCGATAGTGCTCTTCAACAAAGTTGCTTAAAAAACATACAAAGTTCTACTATTGGTGTATAAACACCTTTGCCCAAAAGCCCTTTAACTCCAGAGGGTATTAAACGTTGAATAAGAATGTAATAATCATGCGATTTCAGCCCAATAAGGTTAGTATTGGTTTCATTCACTTTCTTATCGATGTTAGACCCAAACCAATCCAACAGTTTCACATCTCTCATAAACTTACAAAAACTAATGCGGTCAGGTTTTGTGAACGAGTAAGGTGGATGGGGTTTAAGGAACTTGTTGCCACTCTTTTTCAACCATTGACTTTTTTCTGAATGCTCAGATTTGTCAAGTCCGCCCGAGCATTTGATGTGTCTTTAGACTTATCATTCATCAGAGAAGTACCCAAAAGACTCTCACCCACATTTTTTTCAATATGCATAAGATTGAAGTTGTGCTTCAGCTCCAGAGAAGACCAATACTCAAGTTCAAAAAATATGCTCTTTTTTAGACCAATTTAACTCGAAATCCTCACGATCTCTCTTAATACCAGCTCATTGAGCAGCTACTTTACTCGGTGGACGAAACAACAGACGTGTGTGTTGCGCTTGTATTTCTTACTCACTAAATTGTCTCGGAGGGCCTCTTGTCTCATGTTCGCCATTATAGTCCAAAATTTTCTCCATGGATGGTCATCATCTATGAAACGGCGATGACCAACATATACAATCTTATTTGATACTCGGTATGACGGAGTGTCTTCGTTGCAAGTCGAACAAGCTTTGTACCCTTGTCCGCTCCAACCAGATAAACTACTAAGAGCTGGAATGTTGTTTATTATCCATAACAACATCGCTTTCATATTGAAGTTACGTCTTTAGTATGTACTGTAAAACTCTATAACTTCTTCAACTCATCCACCAACGGCCTAGGGAACACATCCAAGTCCTTCCCGGGTGCTTTGGGGCCGTGTGTCAACAAGGTCAACATGTAAGATGACTCTTTCATGCATAGCCATGGTGAGAGATTGTAAGTGGTGAGTATGACGGGCCACGTGCTATGAGGATTACACATGTTACTAAACAGATTAAAACCATCAGCAGCAAGGTCTAAGCGTACCTTTTGGGGTTCCCCCTCGAGAAGTCAGGATACTTCATATCGAATTTTTTCCATGAAGTACCATCAACAGGATAAAACATCGTACCATCTTTGGATCATCCGATACTATCCCAAAAATCATATTTTTAGTTATCTGTCTAGAACAGTACAAACGTTGTAGTCTGGGGGTCACAGGAATGTATCGTAAAACCTTATGAGCCACCTTCTAACCCTTTGGTTTTTCATCAACCCACTGACTCTCATTACAAATTGGACACTTTTGCAACGAGTTGTGTTCTTTCCAAAAAAGAAAGTTGTCGTTTTTACATATGTGTAACGACTCATAACCCAAGCCGATCTTTTTAAGTGTCTGTTTTACTTCGTAATGTGATGGGGGACCCTATTTCCTTGAGGAAATGCAATTTGTAACAACTCAAGAAGCTGATTGAATGAACTATCAGTCCATTTGTTAATCACCTTGATATGCATCAACTTTGCTAAATAGTTAAGGGACAAAAATGAACCTCCATGATATAATTTTAATTGGACTTCCTCTAACAGATTTTGAAATCCATCATCGACATCGCTACCATCTGTATATAGGTTCCCTTTGTCGCGGTTGGTATTATTTTCAATCACACCCCCATAACATCAACAATAACATTAGTCATGTTGTAACTACGTCGTGTGTGTGTTTGACAACTGGCTGAGTTGTCTTTCGCCGTGATACTTCCATATAATATAATGTGGACTAAAACCATGTAGAAGTATATGGAATTTCATTATGGCTAGTAGTATAAATTTATTGACATTACATTTTTTAAACGAGCATCTGATTTGACCTTTGTTATTGACGTGTGGTTTAGACCTCTCGAGAAAATATTCGAGTCCTTGTTGGAACACAGTAGAGTTACGGTTTTCAATAGTAGTCCAGGTTTTATCAATTGACTTGTTGCAACTGAAACATAAGTTAGGTTTTAGTGTTTGTTGTACAAGAACAAAAATTAGGAGTCAATATTTATAAGGATAGAATAACCGCTCAATCGACTGGAATTGAAAACCGAACAACAGAAGAATATCCACAAAGGTAGGCTTCTAAACCCACTTTTTGAATACCTTACCTCATATGCAAATGTGTATTACATCATTGAGCATTTAATAAAAATTCAACAGCATTTCCCCTTAGCTCCTAAGTATATATATATAAAATTATATACACGAGGAGCAAAGAGAAAATAACAACCAAATATTTCTTGAACAAGTAATCATGTAATACACATTCACATCCTAAATGAGGTAAATTATTAAAAAACAGTCCCAAAATGGGAACAACCTGAAATTAATTTCTAAATGAATTTCAGGCGGGTATTTCTACTCTCGTTGATTTAAAAAGAAAATAAAGGAAGATACTTAAACTAAAAAACATAATTTTTATTATAATATTGGATTTTAATAATTAAGTTATTTGACGACAAATTAATAGAATTACTGCCTTATGTTTTTCGTTTTGTTTTGTATTTATAGCATTTTATTTTAACATATAGAAAAGAAGTTTTTTGATGTTGTATTATAAACAGAATATTGTATTTTTTATGTTACTTCACTTTTTTTATTTTATTTTATATATTTTTTTTTTTTTGTAAATATAGATATTAAAGAAATAGCATGAAATTCATTTAATCTAATTTTTTTACATATACATTCATTTGCTATTATTTTGCGAAAACATTTCATTGTCAAA